CTGTTGTTGTGCTGTTGTAATTTTAGAGTTTTTTAATACTGGTAGCCAGATTTTGTTCATTTTCATGAACAAAATGGTTTCCTCCTTTTTGTTGAATTTGTCCACATGCTTGTGGATTTCAAAGGCTTCTCTGTGTAGTCTGACATGGTGGTTGTTGGAGTGATCCAGCATTTCTGTGTTCTCGAATAATATGTGATTCCAGTGATTCCAGCCATGAAAGCCTTCGATAATACATTGAACATCCCTACGGGGAGAAACTGTTCCAAGACTTCACAACAACCTCTGAGGATGCCTGCCATAGATGTAGGCGAAACATCAGGAGAGAATGCTTCTAGAAGATGGCTATACAGCCCGAAATACCTACAGCAACCCAGTGATTCTGGCCATGAAAACCTTCGACAATGCATGCAAAAAATCTACTTAGCAATAACAACAAACATGCATACAGGAATGTAATCAAAGAGTTTATCACAACCCTCAATGGGGCTGCAGAGTTGTTATCATTTTGACAGTATATTGAATACACATTCTCATTGGTTTCCAAAGACAAATCATTTCATTGGTCTAAGCTAACTATATAGATGCTCATAAGTTCTTTATGATTTTGACTGACATAATAGCACTCGTGGGACCCTAACCATGGTACAACTATAGCACAACTATAGTCTATTGTTCTCTGACCATGACTGTCTTCATCACTCTTATCCGTTATTCTGCTGCAAATATAACTCCAGAGCAATTGGGAAACTTGGGAGTTCTAACTAGCCACTAGCTAGTTAGCCTTGAAAAGTACCTTCCTCTCTGCAGCAACATTTTCTCAAACCATCAGGATTTTCTGTAAACAGAGGCCCTCTGCAGAAACAGGCAAATATGGCACAAAATCAGGACATATGGGCATTGAGAACATCCCTCAAAATTCCCTTTTAAAACTACGTCTCCCTTAGGCAAACATAGGCAAACTCCGGCCCTCCAGGTGTAAGCAGCTGAGGGGGGAAAGGAAAGGGCCTGAGGCTGTTAGGAATTGTGGGAGTTGAAGTCCAAAACACCTGGATGGAGAGCCAAAGTTTGCCCATGCCTGTTATAACTACACATGCATATTGATTGCCATTTCATGGTCTGTAAATCTCCATTAGATAATATATAAGCCATGACATCTCCATTAGATAATGGGGGGAAATGTGATATGTACAGATAACCCAGGTTGCTCCTGGCACTAGGTTAAGAAAATATTCATTTATCTGTGATTAAAAGGGTTTTTTGTTTGTTTGTGTGCAAATGCGCCCCCATGTGGCAATCACACACAAGAAAAATGCATGAGAAACAGTGATCTTGCTAGATTGTTGTAAAATATAGATTTTGCACTATATTACCCACTCATTCTTCTGATATTAGGCTCTTAAGAATAATAAACTTGTGATTTGCTGGTCTGAGGTTCTTTTTCCCTAGATCTTGAAAAAAGGCCAGAAGAACAAGCCATCTTAGATGAATGCATGAGACATGAGGATTCTTCACCCACAAAGATAGATATGGAAACATAATACTGTTCTATACAAAATGACATGTGATGGCAACTTTTATTTATTTATTTATAGTATTTATATCCTGCCCTTCTCACCCCAAAGGGCTCACAGAACACACATACGGCAAACATTCAATGCCGATTATACAATTAACAAGGACAGACAACACAAACAGAGGTAAAGGCTGTTTTACTCATCTTATTTCCGACATCTTGGAGGCTGTGTTCGACTCTGGCCATGGGGGGGGGGGAGCATCTTCCATGCCAAAGAGCTTTCCTCCAATCGATATCCTTAAAGGTGATTAATCCCAACAAGACAGAGGTCCTCCAGGTCAGTTGTACGTCGGATTAGGGTATAGTGTGGCAACCTATGCTCGATGGGGTTGCACTCCCTGCAAAGACACAGGTCTGTAATCTGGGGGTCCTCCTGGATTCAGCACTGATGCTTGATGTTCAGGTGTTGGCGGTGGCTGGGAGGGACTTTGCACAACTAAAACCCGTGCGCCAGCTGCGATCGTTCCTCGTGAAGTCTGATCTGGCCACGGTGGTTACCTCTAGATTGGATTATTGGAATGCACTCTACAGGTGGGCTGCCCTTGAAGACAACCTGGAAACTTCAACTGGTCCAATGATCGGCAGCCAGATTGTTAACTGGTGCTAATTATAGGGAGTGGTCTACCCTCCTGTTCAAGAAGCTCCATTGGCTGCCGATCATCTTCCGGTCACAATTCAAGGTACAGGTTATTCCTACAAAGCCCTGAATGCTTTGGGACCTGCCTGCCTTTGTGAGCTCATTTTCTTCTATGAACCTGCACAATCTCTTCAATCTTCCAGGAAGGCCCCCTCTCACTCCCATCCTTGTTGCAAGCGCAGATTGTGGGGACGAGGGAGAGGGTCCTCTCCGTGGTGGACCCCCAGCTTTGGAACTTGCTTCCCAGGGAGATTAGGCAAGCACCCACCTTGGCAACCTTTAGGAAGAGCCTAAAAACTTGGCTTTCCTAGTGTGCTTTTGAGGAATGAACAACAAATCCCCATACCATGCCCGCCCCAGTACAAATTTGTCCTTCTGATACACATTATCCCATCCCCCAGTGAAAATTGACCCCATTGTGTTTCCCACCTGAGACTCCTAGTGGATACACTACTCTTTATTTTTTGTGTTTATTTTATTGCATTATTTTGTTGTTGTTGCAGTTTATTTGAGGTTATTGGATGTTATTAATTGCTGTATGTATTTTATTTTGCTTTATTGTAATTCCTGGGTTTGGCCTCATGTTATCCACCCCGAGTTCCCTTGGGGAGATGGTGGTGGAGTATAAATAAAGTTCATTATTTATATTATTTGTAACTTTTAAGCATCTCAGCACAACAGTGTAAAGTTTATATTTTCTCTTAAAAGCTTTAAAAATAGAATAGGAATGATAAACATCTCACTCCTAATTTCCATAGCTATAATGGGCACAAACATCACAGGCCTCAGGTTAGATTTCTTACGGCTGAAGTTCCAATCAGTTGGCATAAAACATGCCTCCCCCTTTTTCTCTTGGAAGAGGAAAGTCTGCTTCTTGGCAGGGTAAAAGCAGTGGCATTCACCCAATCTTGTTTTTACCGGCAGCAAATAAAACAAACTGGAACGGCAGCCTTGAAGAAAGCACCACTTATCTTTGCTGAGATCTGCTCCAAATGTCCCAGACCATATGCTGCTTCCGTCCATTCTTCATGCAGGTCTAAGATCTACAGCTCTCTTTAAAAGATTGGGCCAACTTTGCAAAACTTGAAGGGGTGAAACTGGCTCAGTATTTTGAATCCCATCTGAAAGTACAGACGGGGAGAGAAAGAATCTTGCCAGGTAAGTTTTCTGTCACATCTGCTCAGGCAGGAATGAGAAATACACCTTTGTTGCTTCCCTCTTTATAACATTGCCAAAATCAGAGTTTTTTCATTCCCCATCTTGATTATTGCAATCTTCTTTTGACTGGTCTTCCGTTAGCTCACCTTAATCCTCTGGTTTCCATTCAACATTATGGTGCTAGGATTATCTTTTTTTTTTTGTCCCATCATTTTGACCATGTGATCCTATTGTGGATATCTCTTTATTGGTTACCCATTTCTTCTAGGATTCAGTTTAAGCTTCTTGTTTTAACATCCAAAGCCCTATACAACCTGGCTTCCCCATAACTTTCTTTTAATCAGCTCACTTAAGAACTGTATTTTAGAAATACAAGGCTTCTTCTCACCCAACCAAGGTCTTCCTGTTCCTTGGCTCAACTTCATAGAATCAGAGTTGGAAGAGACCTCATGGGTCATCCAGTCCAACCCCCTGCCAAGAAGCAGGAATATTGCATTCCAAACACCCCTGACAGGTGGTCATCCAGCCTTTGTTTAAAAGCCTCCAAAGAAGGAGCCTCCACCACACTCTGAGGCAGAGAGTTCCACTGCTGAACGGTTCTCACAGTCAGGAAGTTCTTCCTAATGTTCAGAGGGAAACTCCTTTCTTGTAGTTTGAACCCATTGTTCCGTGTCCTAGTCTCCAGGGAAGCAGAAAACAAGCTTGCTCCCTCCTCCCTGTGACTTCCTTTTACATATTTATACATGGCTATCATATCGTCTCTCAGGCTAAACATGCCAGTTCTTTAAGCTGCTCCTTATAGGGCTTGTTCTCTAGACCCTTGTTCTCTAGACCCTTGATCATTTTAGTTGCCTCTGGACACATTCCAGCTTCTCAATATCTCTCTTCAGTTGTGGTGCCCATAATTGGACACAATATTCCAAGTGGTCTAACCAAGGCAGAATAGAGGGGTAGCATTACTTCCTTAGATTGTCACCCTATAATGCAATTGCTCTATTGCATTGTTCACCATCCCCTGCTCAGTATTTCCCAACTGGGGGTCAAGACCCCTGGAGGTGGGGTTTGTGAGGGGGGTGTCAGAGAGGTTGCCAAAGACCACCAGAAAACACAATATTTTCTGTTAGTCATGGGGGTTCCGTATGGGAAGTTTGGCTCAATTCTATTGTTGGTGGGGTTCAGAATGCTCTTTGAGTGTAGATAAACTATAAATCCCAGCAACTATAACTCCCAAATGTCAAGGTCTATTTTCCCCAAACTCCGCCATTTGGGCATATTGAGTATTTGTGCCAAGTTTGGTCCAGATCCATCATTATTTGCGTCCACAGTGTTCTCTAGGTGTAGGTGAACTACAACTCCAAAACACAAGATCAATGCCCACCAAACCATGCCAGTATTTTCTGTTGGTCATGGGAGTACTTTGAGCCAAGTTTTGTTCCATTCCATCATTAGTGGAGTTCAGAATGCTCTTTGGTTGTACATTAACTATAAATCCCAGCAACTACAACTCCCAAATGACAAAATCACCCCCCCCCCCACAACTCCACCAGTATTCAAATTTGGGTTTATTGAGCATTTGTGCCAAATTTGGTCCAGTGAATGAAAATACATCCTGCACATCAGATATTTACATTATGATTCACAACAGTACCAAAATTACAGTTATGAAGTAGCAATGAAAATAATTTTATGGTTCGGGGGTCACCACAACATGAGAAACTGTATTAAGGGGTCACAGCATAAGGAAGGTTTGGAAACAGTGCCCTAGCTGGTAAAACTACTTCTGAGTATTTCTTATCTAATAAAACCCTGTCAAGTTCATGGGGTTGTTATAAATCTACAAGTGACTCAAAGGCACATATGCACATATAGACCTACCATAGAGCTGTTGACATTCACACACCAGCAATTCTGTATTTCCAAACAGCTGGGTGTTGAATTGTCTGGCTATGTCCTTGTTTCCAGATGTGAAATTATGACATCATCTGCTGAAGCCTGCAGGGATCCTTCTGAGATATCTATACCTGATGTCATTATTTTATGTCTAGCAACTGTGACACGGCAAGATACTTCTGGATCTTCTATCCTGCTCTCCATCTGGCATGGAGTGTCCTGGTGGATTAGTGGACACTGGAGCAGTTGAGTAATCGGTTTGGTTGGGAAGACTTTGGTTATCAGTGAGGATGGAAAGGAATAGCAAATCTCTGCAGCAAAGATAAATAGACATGTGCAGGAATAAGGCTAAATTCGGTCTGTGCTTGCTGCAAAGAGGATGCCAGTTAGGGATTCCCAACAATCTCAATCCTACTTGGTGAAGAATGCTGGACATTACAAGTCTGAAAAGCTCCATGATTCCCATCACTTGTAACAGTGCTAGATCAGGGCTCGTTCTTCAAGGTGTCTTTGGAATAGAGGTGACCCAGATCCAGGCAATTTGGCAACTGCCTTTACTAAAAGGTACTTTGTCAGTTCTTTACAACTGATGCAAGTTTCTGATTTTCAGTGAGCTGGGTAGTCCTTTCTAACTCAGAGGAGTCTATGAGAAGTTGTAATAAGGGAGAAGGAGGGAGGGAGTTCTTTCTTCTGAAGCAGATTTTCAGCTTTGTGTTACAAATGATGGTTTGACTCTCCTTATTTTCCACTTGTATGCTGTAAATAAAGCAGATATCGCAAAGGTTCTTTCCGTTTTCACAGCTCTCACATCTACAGAAAGTATCACCTTCCAGAAGTTCTCCTGGGATGTCACAGCAGCAAATTGGAGAGTCTATATGTCTAGAAACTATTTCATCTTATCGTTCCCCCAGTTGAAGAACAAAGGAAGGTAACTTATACTTGTCTGTGTTCTACAATATTATGTACTCTGATTGCTGTTGAATGACAAGAGTTATGTTTCCCCAAATTGATGTCCTTCACATAGTAGACTATTGTGAAGTCTTGGCTCTGCCTTTCCTCTCCTCTGCTTTAGTTCTCCCTGTTGATAGGTCTTCCCAATAGTGTAGATAACTTCCTTTATATTCATTTTTGGGTGGAGCTGAAAATCCCCCCTGAGGTCATTCTTAGTTAATCTATTCCTTTTCCTGTATAGAACTCACTTGCTGGACTCCTCCTTTTTTCTACAGCAGAGCTACTATGACTTAGGCTTGAGAATGTCTGGTAATCCTAGATCCAAGCAATCCAAACATGCATTCTTAGCACCTGCTGTATTTAGCAGTATTATTATACCAACAGTCCAAAGGATAACAGAAGCTTTTGGCCAGCCTAAGCTTCACAGGAGAGAAGATTAAGACAGTTTGTAAGCAACAATTTATAATCTATCGCTTTGTACCAGAGGCAAGAGAGACTTTCAAAGATTCCAGAATGATTACTGCAACCAGCAAAGGCCCCTTTTGTAATGTATTGTTTTAAGTTACCTTATGATAGTCCCAGGTGGAGTTAACCCTTTATTCATCTTGTTTCAGTAAATTCATTTGGTTATCTTTTCACCTTGCCTGAAGTGCCTCTGTCTGCTAAGGGTCTTAATCTTAACAGAAGGTATACAGATAGCCCCCAAGTAAAGCCAGACACTATAGTTTTCTCAAAAGGCTCAGATGTGCCATCACAACTATATTATCACGTTGACTGGGGATGGTGAGGACTGCAGTTATGAATATGAGGAATCAAGTTTGGAAAACACTTCTCAGTCTCTGTTTCTCAAAACAGCTATTATCAGATTGCAATGTTTAGAGTTGCAGCTCACATCAGTCCTAGCCAGCGTAGTCAATGGTGTCCAGTGATGGAGTTGTAGCTCAACATCTGGAGGGCGACAAAATGCCCAAGGATATTTTTTATCAGGGAAGACACATCATCTTCAATCTTTGAGATATGGTCCTTTCCTAGAACAGTCCCAAGACCACAAAAAGGAATAGTTGAAGCAGCCCATTGTAGTCTCCATCTTAGAGCTAACTTTCAATTGCTCTCATAACCAGAATTCTTGTATCACTCCAAGCAATGTGGCGATGTGCTCATAGAAAACAAGTTAGGCAATGAGTTTTGCAGTTACAGCAGCCAAATTATGAGAAACGACCTTCACTAGATAACATACTTGCTAGCAAAGGGAAGAAGTTGTTATCTGGCCCTTTCATGTTCTGAACTATTCATTAAGGTTACACAATTATTTAATCATGGCTTTATAAAAACCTTCTTAAAATTAGAATTAAGCAGAATGATTAAAAATTCAATTTCTCTGCTGCCCTAAATGGAAACATTCTCTTTTTGTCGATTAACATTGCAAAGTGCATCCTCCTGATTGTAGGATACAGACGGCTGCCCTCCAAAATCACATTTGCTTTCTGGATGAGAAACTGCACCAACTAAAAATAGGAGCAAGATACAGAAACAGTGGGTTGTGCTAACATGGAAAAAATGGAATCACTCAGGTGCAAGATGGGAAACCCATGACTATGAGGGAAAGAAGACAATGGTGGCAATTTGGCACCCTAACCTCTGTTATTAATTCCATATTTGGCTTTTAAGAATGAGACCCTAGTATTTTTACAGCTCATGTACACTGTAGAATTAACACAGTTTGACCCCACTTTAACTGCCATAGCTCAGTGCTATGGAACCATGGGAGATGCACCTTTAGTCAGGTAGAATCATGTTGCACATTGGTACTAATGCAGGTAATTGCGGAGTTACATTGGGGCAGCTGAAGACTCATTTTGCACAATCTTGGAATTTCAGCTGTTTCTCCTCAAGTCTAATTCTCCAAACTTTTTTTTAAATAGGCAGTGCAGTTTATCAAGTGAATTCCCTGACTGAGGGCCTTTCCACATTGCCCTATATCCCAGAATATCAAGGCAGAAAATCCCACAACTGGGCTATCTGAGTCCACACTCAGATAATGTGGGATTTTCTGCCTTGATATTCTGGGATATAGGGCTGTGTGGAAGGGTCCTCATTGAGCTTGTGGTTGAGTCTGACATTATATGCTCTAACTGTCCCCTTTTGATAGTCCCAATTAATCTTTTTTTTTTTTAAATTTTTTTTATTAATTTATCACTTTATTACATACTATTACATTTTGTACATCAACCTCTTTAACATGTTATTTTATTATTTTACTCTGACATTTCTCCCCCTTTTTCTCATTTTTTTCCCTTTTTTCACCACAGTGCTCCCCTCCACCCATTTCAAGCCACCCTTCTTACATTTCATCTGTCCAAAATTTCATTTCTTCTTGTGACGGTAATTTTCCTTCCTTATTTTTTAATCCATTTACCACAAATCTTTCCCATACAGCATCAAAATCGCTTTGTTTCCATATACCTTTTTTAACCTTTAATATACATGTCAATTTATCGTTTATTGCTATTTTCCATGCTTCCTTATACCACTCCTCTATTTGTATATTCATTTCTTTTTTCCAATTCCTTGCTATGAGCAGTCTTGCTATAGTTAGTAAGTTTGTTATCGCTTCTTTATCCTCCTTTTTCAATTGCTTATCGTTATATAGTGATAGTAATGCTATACTAGGACTTTTATCTAATTTTATATTCATTATAGTTTCTATTTCTCTAAATACTTTCTCCCAAAAATTATTTACATATTTACATTGCCACCACATGTGTATATATGTTCCTGGTTCTTGACACCCTCTCCAACAATTTATTGAGTTATTTTTATTCATATATGCTATTCTTACCGGTGTCAAGTACCACTTCCATATTAACTTGTAATAATTTTCTTTAACTCGTATCGATAAATTTTTTAAATGTCTTTGTCCCCATAATTGTTGCCACTCTATTTCGCTTATTTTTTTCCCTAAATCTTCTTCCATTAAGGGTGTTGGTTTTTTTGTTTTTCCTTCCTTTATTTCAATTATTATCTTATATTTTACTATTATTCCTTTTCAAATTTTCACAGCCCTTGCTTTTGTTTTAATTGACTGAGGGTCCTCTATATTTTTTTCAATTCACCAGAATTCTACACTGAAACCATGACAATTATCAATCGTCAAGAACCCATTCCTATCAACAAGTTAGCCACCACCGCCATACCAACCCTCCTCACCCACTTATACGATTAACTCCCTCCGTTTACAAATTTACCATACTTTTTAAATTTGGGAATTCTTCCAATATGGGGATAATGATACCT